CACGCAGGTGCGGTGCCGCGGGTGCGGCGCGTGACGACGACGCGCAGTCGTGGCTAGACTTGCTGCTGGGGCTGTTGCTGCCCAGCGACCACCTTGTGCTGTCTGTCATGGCTGACTCGGGGCTCTGAGCGCCTCTGTGGCCCCCGCTGTGAGCTCTGGAGGCACCCCACTTCCACCCACGATGCTCCTTCCCGTGCTTTGCCACAGGGCACATGTGCTCGCTGGGGAGAGGGACGGTGGGAAGTCACCCCTGAGGGATGGCCACACCACAGTCCCTCCTCCTCCATCCTCCTGGGATTACGAGCACAGGTTCCCGTGCCCGCGTGGTTTTCAGGCTGCCAGGTCTGAGACACGAACCCAGGGTCTTTCTCATGTGGGTCTGGCTGCTGCACCACCTGGCCTGACAGCGCTTTGGCCTCACGTGTCAGCGTGTGTCCCATGTCCAGGTGCAGCAGTTTTTCCAGGGCTCACAGTCACCCTCAGGTTCTGACAGTCTCGTCCTTCCCGGTGTCAGCACAGCGTGGCGTAGGCCGTCCCGGTCGGTCACGTGCTTGCTCTCCGCTCCCTAACCCATCCGTGGGGCCGGACTCCAGGAGTACGCGCTTCTCCTGAGAGCGGCAACCGCGTAGGTGATGCGGAGCGAGGCGAGGGCGGAGCAGGAATATGAGGCCGTGGGGGGACGCTGCGGAAGAGCACGCGAGGGCATGGGTTCTCTCGGAGAACACACGGGGGAGCACGGGGCGTGAGAGCCCGCCTACAGCTCCCGGATAGAAGCTTTGCTGGGGAGCAGGGACCGCGCACGGGGCCTGCCATCAGAGCCTGGCACGTTTCTGAGGGGGCGCACAGGGGTGGCCGGCAGCAGGTGCAGGGCCCTTGCCGTGTCTTCCAGGTCTGTCTCAAGTACTACGAGCATGAGCTGGTGGAGCTGGCCTGCCAGTGCCCGGCCGTGGTGTGCTGCCGCTGCTCGCCCACACAGAAGGCCCGCATCGTGACGCTGCTGCAGCAGCACACGGGGAAGCGCACGTGTGCCATCGGTGAGCCCGGCCGGCCTCGGCGTGCTCGGGGACTCAGCCTGCCATGCGGCTGCGGGCAGACCAGTGTTCCCCCGAGGCTGGGCGGGTCCATCCACGCAGCTGGCCGATCTCAAACAGCACTTGGAGAGGAGAGGCGGCTCCACTGACGCCACACTTCTGTGCTTCCAGGGGATGGCGGGAACGACGTGAGCATGATTCAGGCCGCAGACTGTGGGGTGGGCATCGAAGGAAAGGTGAGGTGTCCCCCGGCCCCGCCTGCTTGACCCTGCTCAGTCAATTGTGCAGCCATGCGCACACGTGGCCCGCACACACACTCCACGTGTGGCCAGCACGTCCCAGCACACAGGGTTGGTGCACACCCTAACACGTGGCTGGCTCACACCCTCCACGTGTGGCCAGCGCGGTCCCGCACACACGGTTTGCACACCCTAACACGTGGCCCGCACACACCCTCCCCGTGTGGCCAGCGCGTCCCAGCACACAGGGTTGGTGCACACCCTAATACGTGGCCCGCACACACCCTCCCCGTGTGGCCAGCCCCTCCCAGCACACAGGGTTGGTGCACACCCTAATACGTGGCCCGCACACACCCTCCCCGTGTGGCCAGCCCCTCCCAGCACACAGGGTTGGTGCACACCCTAATACGTGGCCCGCACACACCCTCCCCGTGTGGCCAGCCCCTCCCAGCACACAGGGTTGGTGCACACCCTAATACGTGGCCCGCACACACCCTCCACGTGTGGCTAGCACGTCCCAGCACACATAACCAGCGCATACCTACCACACGTGCGGCCACCACACATCTGACACATCCAGTGCACACCTGACACACATGTCCGCCGCACACCTGGCAGACGCGTGGCCAGCCCACACCCACACGCATGGTGGCCAGGACACTGAGCACATGTGATCCGTGGTGCTCAACCTGGGCCAGGCCGTGGCCAGCTGCTTGAGGAGGAGGTGATGGTCTCAGTCCTGACCTCGCCCTCGGCCTGGCTGGTGCCGTCTGGGAAGTGCACTAAGACAGCACAGCTGGGCACGCCCCCCAAGGGGCACAGGCCTCTCTGCACCCCGCCACCTGTCCAGGCTCATTCTCAACACCCCGGGTCCCCGGCCTCAGTGCCCAGCCCCTGGCTTGTCTCACACACGTGTCCATCCAGGGGTCTGTCTCTTGGCGCACCATGGCTGAGGTCTGTCCGTACCAGCTGGAGCCGTGTGCCTGGTGTCTCCCCCCAGCCACGTGAACGTGCCCAGAAAGCCTGGTGTGTGTCCCGGCCGCTGCACAGGGCAGCACCACGCACCAGCTTCGTGAGACAGGTCGAAGGGCTTGAGGAGCCAAGGTGGCCACGCCCAGAGAACTGCCTGGAAGGCTGAGGTCGGGTGGGCTGCCAAGGCCAGTGTGTCCTCTGCTCGGGGTCCATGGCCTGGGCAGGCTGCCTGGCTGGACCCTGGAATCCTCACAGGCACTCCTTGATGGGGACCCCGATGCCTCTGGAGGTGCGTGGGCACTGCATGGCCCTTTCCGTGCCTCAAGCCTGCATATCCCGAAGGCTGCCGAGCTGTGCAGGAAGCACCCGCGTCTCGTCCTGTGACCCCCCCAGCTTGGTTGGGAGCCTCTGCCACAGCGTTTAAAGGCCCGTGTCCGTTTCAGGAGGGGAGACAGGCCTCCCTGGCGGCCGACTTCTCCATCACGCAGTTCCGGCACGTCGGCAGGCTGCTCGTGGTGCACGGGCGCAACAGCTACAAGCGGTCTGCGGCGCTCGGCCAGTTCGTCATGCACAGGGGCCTGGTCATCTCCACCATGCAGGTGCGCGGTCACGGCCAGGCGCCCGGGAGGTGGGCGAGGCCGCACTGAGGGGCATCTGTACACCGCGCTGCTCTCTGACCCACGGTTCTCTTTCAAGGCTGTGTTTTCCTCGGTCTTCTACTTCGCCTCCGTCCCCCTGTACCAGGGCTTCCTCATGGTGGGGTAAGTGATGCGGCACCACCATGCCCGGGGGCGCCACCTGTAAGAGCTCTCGTCTGGAAACCTGCTGCAGCCGATGGCTGCTGTAGGACCCCTCAAGGTCGGGGTTTGCAGCGTTTCCTGCCGAGGGGGGCCAGTGCTTGCCAGGAGAGTTCTATTGTGAGGACGCCTGTAGCTCCGGCCAGGAGCACGAATGTGCAGTTTCTGAGGGTCCTGTGGTGTGATGGGATGGGGCAGAGCCCAGGGTGGGGCAAGGACCAGCCCTGCGGCCAGTGGGCATCCAGCTGCTGCACAGCCTCCCTGTCCCCCGCTGGGCCGCACAGCCCTGAGCAGCAGGGACTTCTGGGAGGGGTATCAGCAGCAGCTCCTCTCCCTGTCTGCCGCGCACAAGCCTGGAGACGTCCACGTGCCCTAGACCCACTGCTCCCTGAACGTGGAGCTCCTGTAACGCACAACGCGGGAGGGCAGGCTGCGCCGGGCCTGGTGTGTGGAACCCTGCTCCCTGGTCAGCGAGTGGCCGGGCCCCACCCTCCAGGGAGCACCAACGGCCCGCGGGAGCCAGTGCAGGGCGTCCGAGGGTCTCCTTGGGCTTCTCGGGCCCCTGTGTGTCCTTGGCCCAGGACACTCGCCTTTGTCCCGACCGCTGTCCTCCTGCCCATGTCCTTTCCCGCTCCTAGGGCGCCTCAGGCTGTGCTGCCAGACCGTGGCAGGTTGCGGCCATTCTCCTGCATGCTCTGAGGACAGGCACCGTGGTCTGTCACAGCATGGGCCTTCAGCGCCCGGCAGGAGTGTCCCAGCCCAGAGCAGCCAGACGTCAGGGAGCCCCAGATCCCTTGGTAGGAAAGGCGGCAGACTGTCCTCTCGGGACCACGGAGAGGCCTTCGTCATTCTGCAGGTCCTCAAGGCTCACTTCCAGCACATGGCCCTGCAGGCCATCAGGCGCCATCCCGGGTCCTTGAGCCCCAGCAACCAGTGTTATCCCACTGTTCCTCACGGTGAACATGGCAGGTGCGCCCACACCCTACCAGTCTTTCCTAGAAATGGACCAGCCACTTTCTTCCCAGCTCCCTTTGCTGCCTTTCGTAAGGCGCTTATTCCTGCCAACCGCCCAGGCGCTACTCAGAGGGCCAGAGGGCAAGTAAAATAATTCTTTCAAAAAAAAAAAGGGGAACCAGCAGTTAGCATAATGGCTATGTCACTTGACTCCCACATAGTCGACCACGGTTCGAGTCCCGGACCCGGTGGCTTAAATTCACACTGGGCACATGTATGTGCGTGCCCAAGATCTCAAGAGGAGAATGGAGGAGAAGGGATTGTGGCATGGCCATCTCCCCTGGGGGGTGATTTCTCACTTTCTGTCTCTTTCTGTCTCTCTCTGTCTGGCGAGCACAAGCGCCTTATAGCAAAAACCTGTCCAAAAAAAGAAAGAAAAACAAAAACAGACAAACAGGTAGAGAAGAGCAGGGATTGGGTGCTCCAGCATCTGTCATAGAGACGGCCGTGGCCCTGAGCTGAGCTCCTCCAAGGTCTGTTCTTCTCCACAGCCAGGCCACGGGGGGAAGAGGGTGCTGGAGCGAAAAGCCAGTCTTTCCCATGTGGCAGCCGTGCAGCATCTTCATCCTGTGATGCTAAACAAGTTTCCCCTGGCCTTCTCTAGTGAGCACTCAGCTTCCTGTAGTTTACACTGGGACCAACAGATGGCCTGACGGTTACGTCGCTGGGCTCCCATGTAGTCGGCCACAGTCCGAGTCCTGGACCCCGTGACTTAAAAGTCACGCCAGGTGCATGTGCATGTGCATGTACCCCAGCGTGGGCATCCCGCTGGGGGGTGGTTTCTCGCTTTCTGCTCTCTGGCTCTCTAGTGAACACGCGCACCCTATAGCAAAATCTCCCCAAACAAAAAAAAAATACCTGTGCACTGCCCTGGAGTGCAGCTGTAGGGCGTCTTTGCTGGAGCCCCTCTTGCACCGCAGCGTCAGCACGAAGACCACATCTGCTGTGAACGGTCACTACTGCTTTGTCCCTCTCTGGCGTCCATAGAGCTGCCTGCGTCTAGGGACCATGGACTCTGTAGACTTGGAACAGGACAGCCTGTAGTGTTGGGCCACATGTCAGAAGGCTTAGCGGTTGCACGAGGGCTCTTCCTGACTCAACCCCAACCTGCTCCCTGCAGCCACGGGCTGGGAAGTGGCAGCGCCCGAGGGCTGGTGGCCACCTCGCCCCTCCAGGAAGGTGCACCATGGAGCCCAGCAGGGCACCCACATCCTGCCAGGGTGGCTTCAGGAGCTGCCTCCCTCCCGGGCAGCAGTGGTCCTTGTGTCCCCTCCCTGGATGTCAGTGGGCTCTCCACACCTGCCAGTGCCCTGTTATCGAACGCCAGGGTCAGTGGCTGCCATGTGGGGAACAGAACCCCACCGCTTCCTGGCAATAGCGGGAGCCAGTGAGAACGGGTTCGCTCCCACCCAGAGCAGTGGTTACGTGAGACCTGAGGTCTCCTACACCCTGTAGGAAAACTTCCTGGGTCCAGCTGAAAGCACGCGCTGTAGGTAGCAAGAACTGGGAGGTGCCGGAGTGCGTGGAAGACTGAGTAGAGCCAGCCCCGAGATGGCAAGCCCCAGGACTGGCCGACGGAGATGCGGGCAGCCAGGCCGTGCTCTAAGGGCTCCGGACCCGTGAGAAGACAGAGCACCTCAGTGCAGGGAGGGCAGCTGTGCCGGCCCACACTGCACCCCCTGCCGGGCCGCGGACACCCTGCCTGCAACGGAGCACCTGCATGTGCAGGGGCCCAGCTGGCTCGGGAGGCCATGGGGGTGGTGGTTTGTGCTGTGACCCTGTTGAGAGCGATGTTCGCTGCCTTCCTAGGAAGAAAGAATCCGTTAGGGTGTCTGAAGAGTCACGGTGTGTTTTTCTATGCAAAAACGCATCATGACCCCATAGAACAGAACCAAGTGGAAATTTTGGAAAATGAAAAACCAGTCAAACAGGGCCAAGGGCGTGGTTCGGCAGAGAACGGGAGACTCGGCGACCAGAAGACAAGGTGGCAAGTTTCAGTCTGGGCGAGACAAGGTGGGAGGGCAGTGTCTGCACCTTGGGAAAGCACAAGGCAGCTGCACGGGGCCCCTGCTCCTGGCCAGGGGTCGGGGGGACAGGGCTGGGAAGAGCCCCAAAGGATGCTGGGAACTCCCCAACTTGGCCAAGGGCATACACGTACAGATACAAGGTGGTAAGTGACACCCGTGCGGGAGAGCCAGCCACGCTCCACCCGGCAGCGTCAGGTCAGGTGGTGTGGGGCCTAGAGATGGGTCTCGGAAGCAGCCGCAGAGGCCGTGACGACAGGGCAAGTCGGGTGGCTTTTCTCCTCAGACGCTGTGGCGGCCCCAGGGTCCATGCCCTAAGAGGAGGCTCAGCACTGTGTCTGGTGAGCGTCCCTCAGGAGTGCCCGGGAGATGCTTGCGCCGCCCGCGTCCAGTGACACATGAAGAACCCCAGAGCCCGAGGTGGAGAACCAGTCAGATACAGGGAGGACAGTGCCCAGGAGGCGCATGCAGGTGCCACGCGCCCCAGAAAGCCTGTGTGGAGACGCAGTCGTCCCGTGAGCGTCTCGCACCGTCCGAGTGGCAGAGCCGGATAGGACAGGGCGGCAGAAGCGCGGGGTCTGTCCGATGTCTATGTTCACATGTCAACTCTGTAGGCTGGAAGCATGCCAGCAGCACAGGAGTCACGGGGACACGCCTGGCCACCCCAGCCTGTGGACACCCTCTCCAGAACAAGGAGGCACTCACAGAGGAGCCTGACACTGACCGATGCTTATGTCTGTGACGGCCAGAGATGGGTCCAGAGGCGCTTCAGCCAGCGAATGGGGTTAAATGACCACAGTTGGTGTGTGCACCACACCAGGGGTCTCATGGCCTGAAAAGAGCTGACCCGCAAAGGCACCTGCCACATGCCTGCGTTTCCGTGCCGGTTGTTCAGGGCAGCCTGTGGGGCTGTGGAGGTCGTGCGTGGCAGGGCTGTGTCTGGGGATTGCCCCGCAGCTCTGCGAGACGAGAAGGCACCTCTGGGGAGACGGGCACAGGGCGCCCCGTTCCTACGGACGACTGTGTGCGCCTCCAGTGAGCTCGGCGTGCAGAGCCCCATCTGCGGAGTCTGCTGGGTTGCGGTAACTGTGAGCCTTGTGGCTGGCAGAACACAAGCGCTGTGTGCTACCATGCACGAGCAGTGTGTCTGGGGTAGCAGTAGCCAGGGCACCTCCTACCTGGTTGCAGGCTGGGTCTTGGTCTTTGCGGGGCTCGGTTTGCTTTGTGTTCATTCGAGCGCCGCGTCGGCAGCCGCATTATGAACACAGCTGGGACTCAGGGCTGCGCTGTCCTAGGTACGCGACGCTGTACACCATGTTCCCGGTGTTCTCCTTGGTGCTGGACCAGGACGTGCGGCCGGAAGTGGCGATGCTCTACCCGGAGCTGTACAAGGACCTCACCAAGGTAGGGCCCTCCGCGGGGACCACGCCACGCAGCGCTCCCCTGGGTGGGTGGGGCCGCCATCTGTCCTTCCAGACAGTTCCCTCTCTCCTGGTGGTGGTTGGCATTTTCCTTTAGAGTTACACTTCAAAGGGAGAAGCTGTCCCAGGGAGGAGCGTTTGTCCTACGCCTCACATGCGATGCATAGAGTGTGGAGAACTGGAATTATGGAGGGTGCTCCGGGCCCAGGAGCGTCTGTGAGCTCCCAGGTGACCCGCAGGCTGGCACATGCCACAGGGCTCGGGTTCCCCGGGCATATGCTCGTAATCCTCGGCAGGCTCCTCAGGCTGACGTTGCTGCTCTCACTCCAGCCCACCGTCCTGCACATCTGCCCAGGAGGTAGTATTCCCAGCACACCCTCGAAGGACCCGGACTCTGGCGGCGTTCCTGTCCCCGGACACGTCCCTAGCTGCGGGTCTCAGACTGCACCTGAGGAGTGGCGGGCGGCAGGTCTTGTCCTGACTACTGTGTGCTGCGCTGGCGGTGCTACCCTTAAGTCCCACTCACCCCAGAAGGCTGCACGAACCCAAAACAAGATGCAAAAGCCACGTTTTGGCTTACAGCTGCTCCGCTGAGGTCGAAATACCCCGCAGGGCGGCCCCGTTCTGTGAATACATGATTCTGCAGCACAGGGCGTGAGGGACTCTGGCAGGGAGCGTGGCTCTCCATGGACAAAGCATCGAGGACAAAACCCACTCGCCCTCGGTTCCATTAGGTTCGCAGCGAGTGGTGGGTTATCACTCGGACCCGTAAAGCTGTCGCAGTATCAGACGCTAGGGTCGGCCCCGCTTGCCACCAGCTCCCTCTCACATGGCACTCTGTCCCAGCCCCAGAGTGGTGCAAGGCAAGTCACGTTAGCCCGGGGTCCAGGGGGCTACTGCAGGGGGCGAAGGTTTCAAAGCTTGAGAAAAAATACAAAGCACCTGTTTGACTTCTGGACCAGGTCAGGGAAAGCCCGCTGCCAGGCATGGTGGCAAGCCCGGTTTAAACGTACCGCTGTTGTGGTGCCATGAGGCTGGAGAGGGGCTCCCAGACCGCACGGGCTGCGTGTGGATGGGCAGCTTTCTGATTTCACGTATTTCTTTTAAGAGGTTTTTGCTATAGGGTGTGACCACCTGCCAGAGAGAGACAGAGACAGTGAGAGAAAGTGAGAAATCACCCCCTGGAGGGATGACCACACTGCAGTCCCTCCTCCATTCTCCTCCTGGGATCTTGGGCACACATGCACACACACCTGGTGTGAATTTGAAGCCACTGGGTCCAGGACTTGAACCATGGTCGGACATGTGGGAGCCCAGTGACGTGACCACCATGGCATCTGCTGGCCCTGTGATTTAATATATTCTAATATGATGAGACCACTGTGGTAAAGGGAATCAGAACACAAGCAAAGATTCAAGAACTGCAGGGTGCATGTGACTAATTGAGAAGCTCATGTACTTCCTCCTTCCCAGAAACTGACACGGCTTTAGAGAACACCCGAGACCACGGCCCAGACCTGCTGCTGGGCAGACAAGGTCGGTGTGTAGGCTGTCAGGCTAGCCGAACTGCCCCTGCAGTTAGGGAGTCTGTCCATACAGATGTGAGACCCCCGAGGGGCTACACTGGCCAGCGCTGGGGAGCCCTGCTGGGAGACCTGCGGTCAGGTGCAGTCCCCACCAGTCCGGCAGCAGGGCGCCTCGGCCAGCAGGGCTGAAGGACTGAGTGTCTGGGCCGTGGGGGCCATCAGGTATGAGGCTTATCACCCAACATCGGGGGTTCTCATTGAGAATGGAGTTTCCGTTCTTGCTCGGGCCGTTGGTACGTAGGCGTTGAGAGCCTACGCCCTGATGCCGAGACAACACTCCCGCAGTGTCTCCTTATGAGGGAGCGCACAGGCCTCGGGGATCCGCAACAGGGTCTCCTGCTTACTCTTCCTGCCACCGGTTACCTGGGACCTCAGGTCACTCCCCTGCGCCCAGCCAAACCTGGCCTTCATGTGTGGGCCCAAGCTCACCCAGCAGTGCCCGATCCCCACACCACTGTGACTGGGCCCCTGCGGCTCTGGACAAGAATTTAGTCAACTCATTTCCTCTAGACACTTTTTTTTCTTTCTTTCTTTCTTTCTTTCTTTTTTTTTGGTATAGGGTGCATGCGCTCGCCAGAAAGACAGAGAGACAGAAAGTGAGAAATCACCCCCCAGGGGGGATGGCCACACCACAATCCCTTCTCCGGCATGTGTTTAAGCCACCGGGTCCGCGAGTCGAACTGCGGTCAACTATATGGGAGTCCAGCGACACAGCCATTACTCCACTGCTGGTCCCTGGACTCCTTTTCATTAAGATTCAAAATCCGTACTCTAATCTATGTAATACCTTTTTGAAAATCAAGTGTGCGTCGCCACAGAGCTGAGCTCCTCCTCACGGGAGCCACAGAGCCCTGCTCGCTTTGCCGCTGCTCTGTAATGGTAGTAGCTGGAGGCTCGTTAGCTGCCAGTCTGGGCTGGTCACCACTGGAGACCTGAGGCCCACGGCCGGCTGGGGCACAGCCGGGCTCTCAGCGGGGAGAAAAGCCTGCCCACAGCAGATGGGAGAGCCAGCGGCAGGGCAGGCCGCACGGTGGGGATTGAGTACCTCCCTGTGAGTAGCCGCCCAGCAGGTCTGCGTTGGAGATCGGAGACCCGAGGCTGCCCCAAGCACGCGGTGCCTTCAAGGCAGGCCAGGGAGTATGTGGGGACGGGGCTCCGGTTCTTTCTGTGCTGACAACTGGTCTGCACGCCGAGAGTACTGCAACCTGACGCCCGAGACCGCGACTCAGACGGCTGCTGTGATGGGACTGTGGTCCCGCCCTCACTCACGCACACCTTGCACGCTGACCTGAACCAGACTGGGCGAGGATCTGTTCAGCACGTGCTTGGGAGCGAACACGGGAGGGCAGAGCAGATCACCCCAAGGGCAGCATGTCCTTCCTTTCCCTAGAAGCACGTGGTCCCCACCAGAGACGGGGTCTGTAACAGCGCAAAGCCCGCGCTCCTCCCCAAGTTCTGCTTAGAACGGTGCTCTGGGGGCAGAGCAGGACCACTCGTGCCTCCCCTGGCATGGCAGGTGTGTCCTGAGGGGCCTGTGACCCTGAGAGAAGCTGCCTAGGGCACCTGCGAGCCAGGGCCAGGGTCAGGGCCAGGGAGGCAACCCATGACCCGCCAGCCATACCGGCCACGTGGTCTGGGATCTCTCAGGCTGTGGCGGTGAGGAGTTGGCAGTTGCAGTTCTCTGTCACCAGCTGGCCACGGAGACACGAGCTCATGGTTGTCCCGCTGGTGAAGATCCCACGTAGCCGCCAGACACCGAGCTCTCAGGGTTCCTCTGCCACATCTCGTTTCTTTTAAAATATTCTTTTTTTTGGAGAGGGTTTTTTTTTTTTTTCTGCTATAGGGCGTGTGAGCTCACCAGACAGACAGACAGAGACATAGAGACAGAAAGCGAGAAATCACCCCCCAGGGGGCATGGTTATGCAGCAATCCCTTCTCCTCCATTCTCCTCTCGGGATCTTGGGCACGCACACACACGTGCCCGGCATGAGTTTTAAGCTACCGGGTCCGGGACGCAAACTGTGGTCGACTACGTGGGAGTCCAGTGACATAGCCATTACGCTAACTGCTGGTTCCCTCTTTTAAAATATTCTCAGAATGGTTTTTGAATTGTATGTGTGTGCATTTATGTAATTTTTAACATAAGGCAAGAAAAGAACATTGAAGACATAGACATTAGAAAGGAAAGAATTTGAAAATCTCTGTTTGCCGTTGCCACGTTGTACAGAAAATTTCAAAGAACACACACACAACCATCCTAGACTAAGTTTAACGTGGTTAAAGGATACAAGGGGGAAATTGTAACCTCTCTCGCTCTCTATGCCAGCAATGAACAATTGGGGTCTGAAAAATTGAAACAGCATTTATAATAACACAAAAGAAGTTAAATACTCCAGTATACCTCTCACAAAGTACATGCAAGGTATGTGTGCTGAAAACATAAAATACTGATTAACTTTAAAAGATACAATGAGGGCCAGCAGGTGGCGTGGAGGTTAAGACGGCCAACATGGCCTACTGCGTAGTTGGGGTTCCAGATCTGGCGACTTAAATCACGCCGGGCATGTGTGCCCAAAATCCTGGCAGGGAAATGGAGAGGGACTGCAGTGTGGCCCCCCTCCTGGGTGGGGCTTTCTCACATTGCCCTCTCTGTCTCTGCCTCTGGTGAGCACACATGCTCTGTAGAAAAACAAAATTGCTATTATATAAATATAAATTAGTTTTATGGATCAGGAATCTCAGTATTGTTGAATATTGACAGCTGACTCAAATTATATGGAAAGGCAGGGGACTAAAACTGCAGGCCACGTATGACTGGAGAGGAGTAGACGTGGAGACCGCGGGGACAGACCTCTTCTGCCCACCTGGCAGGGCCCAGTGAGAGGGAGCTGTCGACCAGTAGCATCCAGGCAGCTCGTCGGTCAGCCCGTAGCTCAAACGTCAGGGGGCTTGGCTCCAGTGGATCCATGACGTGAATGTCCAGCTGAACCTTCTAGAAGAAAACATGCCTGACCTCAGGCGAGGCTGTGTTTTAGACATGAGCTCACAGGCAGGACCCATGGAGGGAGAAAAGATAAGCTGGACTTTGCACCACTCCCCAGTCTTGCTTTGTGAGTGATACTGCTAAGAAGAGAGACAGTGGGCTGGCCAGAGCCTGTTAGTTAGGGACGCTGAATCCCAGACGGTGACAAATCCTGGCCCTGGCAGCTTTACAACACGGTACCTATGCATGCAAGCAGACTTTGTTGTTGTTGTTGTTGTTGTTGTTGTTTGGTTTTGGGGTTTTTTTGGAGAGGTTTTTGCTATAGGGCGCGTGCGCTTGCCAGACAGAGAGAGACAGAGAGACAGAAAGTGAGAAATCACCCCCAGGAGGGATGGTTACGCCGCAATCCCTTCTCCATTCTCCTCTCTGGATCTTGGGCACACATGCACATGTGCCCGGCATGAGTTTTAAGCCACCAGGTCCGGGACACGAACCGCGGTCGACTACGTGGGAGTCCAGCAACATAGCCATTACGCTAACTGCTGGTCCCTGTGCAAGCAGACTCTTGATGGGATGGAGAGACCAAGAAGGGACCATGCCCAGCCCCACCCAGTGGAGGCTGCATTCCTCTCTGTCTCTTGGGAGGTTGCACATGACCCTTGGTAATTCAAAGAAAAAAGAGAATAAAGGCAAGCCACAGGCTGGGAGATACTTTCCAGTCACATTTCTGACAAAGGCCCTGTATCCACACTATGCAAAGAATGATAAGGGGCCAGCAGGTGGCTTGGAGGTTAAAGGTTCTGGACTCCCACGCGGTCAGCCATGGTTTGAGTCTTGGTTGCCTCTGACAGACCTGAAGTGCTAGTGAGTGTGAAGGTTGGGCAGTGGCCTCCCTCCTGGGACTGCATGATCTGCGGCCTACGGTGACATGGGGAGACCTTGGGCCCAGCACTGCCTGCCCGGGCTCCCTCGTCGCCTGCATTGGGTTTAAATAGTGAAGGGTGTTGCCCAAGAGCCAGTTCGGCTCACCTGAGTGGGATCTATTTACGTGACGCCTTTTCCAGTCGGGGCTTAAGGGGGAATAAACATCACCTACTTCAGCTGGGCTAGGCCAGCTTTACTGGAGGGGGGGCAGTAGACAGAGGAGCATCCGTCACCAAGAAATAACAAGGCACAGGGGTCATGGTTATTGCAAAGGGAGGGAGGCCGCCCCAGTGTAAGTGCTCCTTCACGCACGCCACCTCAGGCACCAGGAAGCTGGGGGCAAGCTAGGGTCATGGTGGGCACAGGCCTCCCTCTGCCCGGAGAGCAGGTGTCAGCCGCACACTTCCTGCAGCTCTGCAGAGCTCCCTTGCAGGGCCAGCTGGAGGTTGGAGGCCTAGGATAGAATGGACCAGGCTGGTGACCTGGGGTCTTGCAGAAGTCCCCCGACCTGGCTGCTCGGACAGAAGAACTAAGCTGTCCACTGTTTTTCCAGGGCAGATCCTTGTCCTTTAAGACCTTCCTCATCTGGGTCCTGATCAGCATTTACCAAGGTGAGTCAGCCCTGCATTTATGGACCGGGGGCTTCTCTCGTCTTCTATTAGCAGTATCGCTTCACCTCCAACAGCGTGAAACTCCACCAGCATCTAAAACGATGCTTCCACCTATCTTGTAATCAGTATTCCAGCAACAGGCATTGCTGTGTATTTTTTTCCAACTGATGCTGAAGGCACCTAAGACCACCCTGTTTTTAGCTAAATGTGAATCTGGAGGAATGTATCAAGCACATGCCACATCGGAAGGCCCTCACAGTGGCTTTCTGTTCTGGGCCGATGGCAAGCCTTTGAGAAGTCGGGCTCTGTCGTCAGAGCCCCGCCCCCCCCCTTCGGTGTTCCAGGTGATGGCCAGAAGTGCAGGTCACAGAGCAGCTGTGTAGCCGAGGCTGCTTGCTCACACCATGCGCTGGCCTCCAGGCCCCCAGAGCTCTCCGCCCTGTGCCTGCCGTTCCTGCTGGCCAGGCCGGGCCCACAGTTCATCTGCCCACACTCAGGGCCGAGGTAGCCCGTTCCCAGCCCAACACATGCAGGCACAGGCCCGCCTTCCAGGCCTGGCCTTGCTGTGCGTGGGCCATTTCCGTGGTCACCGCCAGCCCAGCAAAGCGAGTGGAGCCGGGCCCAGCGCCGCTGTGTTGCAGGTGGCGTGCTTATGTTCGGAGCGCTGGTGCTGTTCGAGTCGGAGTTTGTGCACGTCGTGGCCATCTCGTTCACGGCCCTCATCCTCACTGAGCTGCTGATGGTGGCCCTGACGGTCCGCACATGGCACTGGCTGATGGTCGTGGCGGAGCTCCTCAGCCTGGGCTGCTACGTGGCCTCGCTGGCTTTTCTCAATGGGTACTTTGGTAAGTCGCCTTGGAGTGCTGTTGTGAAGCGTGGCCCATGGGCGGTGCTCAGACGTGTGTTAGCTTCTTTGTGTGTTGACCTTACATTGCAGGTCACGGTGAGGCCCGTATCAGGGACGTCACCACACAGAAGCTTAGTTACATGGAAACGTAAAAGCACAGTGACGCAGTAATGCATGACATTTACATTTTCACTGTTTGGCAGCTTCTTGTTTTGTAGACAGGGTCTGTCTGGGACCACATGCCCCTCTCCATGCCCAGCTTTTAGGATGGGCTGGGGATTGAGCACAGGCTACCACAGCCAGGCCTCCTCCTGGCTTTGAAGAAGACCTTGAAGTTGTGTTTCTTCCAAGAGCCTCCCCAAGCTGCACTGCGCGGCCTCTGCCCATAGGGGGCGGCAGCTGCCCCGAGATGAGAGCCCTCCTGGAGGGAGCCCAGCACCCACAGTGCCCGCAGCCCCTGTCGCCCCCTCTGGGACGCAGAGGGTTCCAAGCATGCAGGGCCACACCCCAAGGCCTGGTCCAGATGTGGCATCAGAAGTGTGCCAGGCAGCACCCCCGTGCCCCAGCCGTTGTACTGAACAAGTGGACAAGTGGCCTGAGGAAGTGGTCTGACCTCACTGCCTGTTTCCTGAAGATGGCGAGGTCCTGCCTGTGGGCTGGACTGGGGCTGCCGCCTGCAGGTGTGCACCGTGCCAGCCCGTGCAGGTCAGAGATCCCACAGGCGGCCCGGAGTGCGTTCTCTGGGTACCTGGAGCAGGCCACGGCCCCTGCTCCTCAGAGACGCTCTTTGGCCATGTTTGCCCTGGCCCGGTCCCTGGGACCTGG